TAGAGGTTGGCGTGCCCTCACTGTAACTCAGTAGAAAACGCACTCTGAGACCGTCGGTGAGTTACAGAAGACTGAGTGTGTTATCTTAAAACGATTTGGAATACACAAATCAGCAAATCATGAGACAACCACAGCTGAAATAATGTCACAATGGAATGGTATGTATCATAACTATATCATGATATCGTTTGGGATTAAGTAGGTAGTATGATGCCACAAAAAGTATTGCTTTTGGGAAGGATATTTAACAGCCCTTTCCAATGCCAGCTGTTCATACACTCAGATCATAAAGATGTGTTCTTATCAGGGATTTAGTATTACCAAGAAGGTGATATCCCTTGTACTTAATTGCATTGAAAAACAAAGGAATATGGACCACCCAGAAAGAGACCTGGAACAACTCGTACTCCAACAATGGCAATCACACTGAGTCGTCTTGTAACTGTTAAGAATCCATGGACACAAAGGTCAATAGCAAAAGGATCTCCATCAAGCTTCCAGTCATATCTCCTGTTCTACCATCGCACAGCTTAGATAGGTGAAGGATGAAACGAGTATTCATGCTAGCTTATGTGAAGAAATACGGGTGCAGTCGCTGGACGCAAAGCCTGTGTATTTCTATGTGATTCGACCGTTAAAATGGACGTTGTGAAACATTCATCCTCGTACGCTATATTTATTACGCAAAACATGCAGTGCTGGGTGGTGTGCTTTAGACATGACATCCTTTACGTCGGACATTTTTGCAATGGAAAATATGTTGTAGGACTATTGTCAAAATTAACGATCACGATATAGAGTATTATCAGACGTGGTGACATCGAGTACAATGACTTGGTAAGGCTCCTAAATGGTCGTCATATAATGTAAAAAAAAAAGTTTTATAAAATTTACGCCCATTGTTATTTTGAATCTCTTATGTGTTAATAAATGTAACAACAGAGTAAAGGTAGGAGTGGTAACGAAAAATCAAGAAAGAAATCAAAGTAAGTTTCAGGAGCCGAGTATTGGTAAATCATCACTGGCTTTTCATTCACGTTTATATATAATAATGGTTAGACATGGCCTACTGTAAATCGTAGGATCTACTTCTTGTGTTTCCTTGCCGCATAAATACTCTCCTCATTTTGGGGGCGTTATAAGTGTAGTGGTCAAAGCTCCACTATTCGATTAGATAAAAGTAACACAAGAGTTGGCGGTGGATGCTGTTAACTAGCTGCCTTCTCTCTAGTCTTCAGTTCAAAAGTATAGATGTCTATGCACAGATGTTCCTTGTGTGGAATTCTAAAACAATGAAGTTTTTGTAATCTTTATTCAATTCAATGAACAAATGAAAAAGTATTAAGAATCTTTTATTTTTTTTTCCTTTTCACGATGGCCAACAATATACACTGACTGGTTCCTGTATTTGGACCTATACCTAATAACTAGTTGGGCCACCTTTAGTATGAATAAGAGCTGTGGCATAGGATATGCGAAGTGCTAGAAGGCGTTCTGAAGGTTTTTACCCATTCAGTTATTAATATTCTACGCAATTCATGGAGCGAGGTAGGCAGAGAATCGTGATAGCGAATATGTCTTTCAACTTCATTCCAAAAATGCTCAATTGGATATAGAGTCAGAGAATGTGGTGGCCGCAGAAGGTGCCTGGGGTCTTTATTGTGTACCTCAAAACTTGCACGTGCGATTGGTGGGAGCATTTTCATCTTAGAAATAGCTGACCTCATTAGGATACATATAGAACTTTGCTGGAGTTTCTTTATCAGAAATGGTTTGAGGTCAGCTGTTGCATTCGATCTGCCTTCTAAAGGGGCTAAGGATATGCAGGGAAAACATGTTCCAAAGCATGATTTCATCACCAATAGCTTGTGCACTCGGGCCAACTTAAGAGGGTAGAGTTATTTTTATGGTTTTTTTCTAAGTCTGTTTTCTCAAACCTGTGCAAAAGAGGATAAAGCATGGTTCATTGAACCACATCACCTTTCGACTGTCCTTATATGTCCAGTCTCTACGCTTTTTTACACCACTCAAATAATTTTTTGTTGTTGGTAACCACATTCAGTGATTCATATCATGGTCTTCTACTGCTATAGCCCATTTGTTGCACGATGTTCCTCGTAATTTACGGCTGGAAACTGATATAAATTGCCCTGCATTGAATGTCTGTCAGTTGGTCTATTGTTTGATGATGGTTAAATTTTATTATCATTTCTAACCGTTTTTCTTTTCTCTCTGTCATTAGATATTTGTAGCCCCAATTTCCCTCAGCAGCTGACATCTTATTTACTTTTTCCATTGCTGATAAACTCTATTGATCGGTATCTTGGAGCAGTCTACCAATGAAGTCGTCCTTGCCACTGTGGCACTTGCTAGGCGTGCATTCACTATCAAGCCTCATTTGAATGGTGCAATATCTTTGCTTTTCCCAAAATGTGTTAGAATGAGGGCAAATGTGCTTGATCCAGTCATATATAGTGTTGCAGAGGTCACCTATACATCATGTGGTCAGTCTCATTTACAGCTACATTTCACATCAGGACCAAAACTGAAAGGATGCATAGCTCTTAAGATAGTGGTCAGCCATATATATATATATGTATATATATACGTAAACATATGCAACGAATTTTTTATAATATCTCTCAAAGACTGTTATCAAAGAAGCTACAACGTCATCGTACCTCTGCTTAGTATTTCCATAAATTATTGTTCCCCAATTTTACCCATTACATCATCATCAAGTGCCGTGCATTGTAGCGTAGACGATCATGTCCCTCCACCTTTGCCGGTCCCAGGCACTTGTGATTAGACCAGTCACCCTCTCTTTGTGTTTGTTTGTTTGTAATTAAGCACAAAGCTATACAATGGGCTATCTGTGCTCTTCACACCACGGGTATCTAAACCCGGATTCTAGCGTTGTAAGTCCGCAGACATACCGCTGTGCCACTGGGGGCGTCTCTCTTCGTGTAGCCAAACTGTTAAACTGTCCAGGATCTTCTCTCGCTCTCTACCTCCACTTCTTTTCTCCACAAATTTCTCAGTTGTTACCAAGTGTTCCATCCTCTTTCTCCTCATTACATGACCAAATAATGCTGCTTGTCTTTTTTTTGTACTTTCGTTATCAATGTTCTTTTTGTTTCTGATTGTTGTAGAACTTCTTCATTTGCTTTCCAGTCTTTGTAGGAAACTCTAAGTATTCTATGCAGGAACCATATTTCGTTCGCATGAACTCATTAGATAGTCAGCTTAATTTCAGTAATCTGTTTTTCCTTCTTTTTTTTTTTCATTTACATGTATTATTTTAAAAAGCAGCAACTGTTCTTTGACGATATATGTATTTGTTGATTATGCCTAAAGGTAAGAAGAACTCGTAATATAATTTAGTTGAAGAATATAATAAATTATATTAATGGAGGAACAACATGGTAGTGGAATAAATCAATTCACAATAATAACACAGGCCTGAGATGGTTTTATTGTCTTGATATTTTTACACGTTCTACAGTAATTCCTGTAGGCTGAATCCGAAAACGATATCCATTTTCTTCCATTACCTACAGATTTTTTTACAAAACGTCATAACGCAATACATAAAAGAAAGACCACAACACGTAATTTTGAGACTAAAAGACGCAGATTTCACACACAAACAAATCAGTATGAATGAGAATGCATATTCGTTTGACGTCAATGTTCTTCCCTTTTCTTCAATTTGCTTGTATTTTTGTTTCAAACATAATAATAAAAATGTTCATTGTGGTAAATGATATAATAATTTGATCTAAGTAATAGTTTTTTATTCCCCAATAAATGGAAAATCTGTCATTAAAACAGAAACAACTTTTATTTTAAATTCGCAGGCCTGTGTAATCACTCAACATTACGTCGACTATCCTGCCATCTGGTATTCAATATGTGACTTGAATTTATCAAGTTATGATGCTAATGTTGAGAAATTTCTACATTTTCAAATTACAATACTAGCTGTATTTATAACAAAATTGAATTAATAATTTAAAAGGACATTTTATAACCAGAAATAGAAACACTGATTATGTATTTCTGATATAATATCACATATACTCATACTCTGCCAGTGATATTTCGTAAGGATTCATAGCACACAGTTGTGAAAGTGTAGTTAACTTATTTAGTGAAAAGAAAAAAAAAACAGTTTATAGGTAAACAATAATGTAAGAGCTTATCTGATAGTTTAAAGACATTTAGACAAAAATGAATTAGTAGTTCGAAAACTAGAGGTGATTGGTAATTTTCAACATGATTTTTAGAATCATCATCGTCAAATTACTCAGAAACAATTACATGTTTTCTAGTAACGGAGAAATTATTTTTGTTGTTGTTGTTGCCCAGCGTAACCATTAATCTCAATGTCAGTTGTGTTACTTACTACAGTGAAATGTCAATTTTTATGGCCCAAGAGACATATAAATTTTGCTGGTTTCGTAAAGGTATAAAAAATAATTTTAGTCAACAATGGATTTTTTATATAACTCTTTATATGCAGATAAACTGTATGTGTACTGTGTGTGTGTAACGTAATTATCATTCATAAGTACTTTTAAGTGACAAATTTGAATACATGGAAAAAAGTACTTACCCATAACATACAGACTTTAATATGAAGAAAAGTTTTGTTTCACCAATTTCCAAAGAGCAGACCTTATTTTTCTGATATCTTAAATGGTTTAAAACAAAGAATGTTTTAATTCCACCACTAACGATTTAAAATTTTTCAATATGTACTAAAACTTCATTTGATATACCTTGTGTATTTTTCTTCATACGATTGCAGCTGAGTTTGTAATATTAATGTATGTCAAATGTCTTAGTTTGAAATTTAGTTTCAATCATTTCCGCTCTCTGAAATAATATTTTAAGCATTTTTTTTTCAAAAGCCATACTAGAAAAGTCTATTTACGAATCTAATTCACAAAACAAACGATTTAGTAATATTGGAGAAAAGCAAATTTATTTGTACTTATTTGTACAGCACCTTGATCAGTAATAAACTGTGGGAAAAAACACAGACGGTAGCGCCACTTGTGGAACAACTAGTAGGCTACATAAATTGTCTTATTACTGACACAAAAATAATACGATAGGAGATAAATGGTCGTTGCCATGCTAACTATTATTTCCAACTTTTGTTAAAACACACTTGCATAAAAATGACAAAATATCAACGAAGAAAACATTTGTACTATAATAACGAGATATCTACAGTTGTTACTTTTAACATTGCTATAGTAATTTAACAAAACGATTTGAGTTTAAATGTTGATTAAACATCCGTAGCGTTATCAAATAAAACAGACCAAATATGTTACAAGAGGGAGTGTCACCAGGACATTTGTACTACTTACAGACTACATGGTTACAATCTCATCCTAAACATTTATATGGTAACAGTATTATGTTAACTTAATGTTGATTAAACAACAGTTACATTGTCAAATAAAACAGATCGAATGTGCTATAGCAGGGGGGTGGGGGTGTTGTCATGACAACTAAACTATATGAGCTTAAATATAAAAATTACAAAATGATATCATGAGTACGTAAACTGATTTTGCTAACAAAGAATGAATTCACAAAGCGTTTATTTGTACAAGGCAAGTATACCAAAGCTGTCATACTAAAGCACTGTCCAAGCTGAATTCAATAGCGAAAAACGAGACTATTTCGATCTCTTTAGGATGCCTCAGAGATTAATAAACTTTCATTGACAAATATACACGTGATGAAACTAGTATGAAGCCTATAAAGCTATGTATTTTCAGAGGGCATATTTGCTAACATTTGTATGAATGTGATAAGCACATTTCCACAGAATTATACACAAAAAGGTTTATGTTACGTGGTAAGGTACTTTTTGATGATAAGCGTTATGTAAATTGAGCTTATTTACGTGAAAGAACGTGTTGGAATAAATGCATAACATATTATTAACCATAAATTCAATAATAAATTTTTGTAACTCTTTAAAACAGAGCCAAAGAAGGTATATGTAGACCATGAAAACATTGGTTTGTATGAAGAAAGTTGGCGCCCAAATCTTTAAGTAATAATAATTAAAAATATAGATAACTAACAAGGTTGGAGAATAATCTAGAAGGATCGCCATCTGGTGAATATTTTCCTATTCTGAAGTTTTATTTCCTCCATTCACATAAAATGATATTCTCAATGAGATCTAAAATGTTATTTTTCTTTTTTGTCCTGAACAGCAGTAGATATATATTAATATGTATGACAAATAATAAGACAGATTAGTAAAGTCGTGAAAAATCAATCAGAATAAATTCACCAGTTTTATAGGATAAACTAGAAACTAGGATATAAGAAACTAGAAACGGAAAATTGATTCTGTGATGCGCAGAATCGAGAAAATATTAACATATGCAATACGATTACCCCTTTTTTTTTAATTACTAAGGTGTTTTTATTATTGCCAATTGCAAACCTGCACAGGATTTAACTAGTTGTTAAACTGGTTTTTATTAGAGGTTACTCTTGATTATGATATTTATGCAACTAAAACAGAATGGTGAATTTTGCCTTTAAAACTAATTAGGTTCAGTAAAGAATTTGCATTTATATGTTATCATTTAACTATGAAATTTATTGAATAATCGTAATTACAGTAACAATAACGAAGCTGTAATGTTACTTTCTTCTACGTTATGTTCTGCTTGGTCATGTAATTTTTTCTTCTTCATCATAAAAAATACCTTCATCATACAATATACAAGTCAGCAGTAGATACTAAAAATAATAGAATTTTTAACGATGACATATAGATACACATATAAAAAACTTAGGAAGGATAACATGATGGTTTGTTTCACAATTTCCCTCTACCCCTCAACGTTACTTATGAGTGAAGCAGAAATAGGTTTATGAAATGGCAAATCATGTGATCCTTATAAAGTAAATACAAAAGTGTTATGGCTCAATAAAATATTTGTACGTCACTGGCATATCAAAGTATGGCCACGACAAAAAACAAGAAGAAAATCTGACCGGTTTGATAAGCTAGACTAGTAAAATCCTTGTAAGCTATATTGTAGAGTAACCAAACATTTTTGTATTTTTCTAAACTTAACATATAAAACATATGCACCGGTATTTTCATGCTACGAACAAAACAGATCATTACAAAATATGACAAAAAGACATCATCTCGGATGCACTATTCTTCTACAAGGAACACAATAATTATTTTTAGTTTAAAGATTTTTATATATTTTGAGCCTTTAAAAGACTGTACTCTTAACAGTATTTTAAGATAAAATATTTTCATATTAGTCAAAGAAGAAGCTTCAGCCACAAGCAACATAAAAAAACAACAATAAAAAACATTTAAGTAAAAAAAAAGTTTCCTTACCACCTCATCTAAAAAGTTTTCCCTGGCATATAAGAGAACGTGAAAGTTTCGATACCTGTGGTGGGCAGAACACAGATAGCCCATTATGTAGCTTTGTGCTTAATTACAAACAAAAGTAACGAAAACAAAACCATAAGTAAGGGTTTAGTATGTATTACGCGGTGGCGTAGTAATAAAATGTTTTTAATTTGGGTTGAAACTAAACAAAAAAAAATTCTTATAGTCAAATATGCGATGTTTATAAAGCAACAAATTATCAACAATGCATTTTAAAGACGAAATTAAACAAATTATTTTATCTTTTTTAGCTTACCTAAATACTCCACTCCACCAAGGGGCGTAGTGGGTTTGGGGATTATTTTCTACACAAATAACTTTAAGTGATTTAAATAATTTTCAAGTGTTTTTATATATATATTAAAAAAAAGGAGTCAGAAATATTGGACCTGTTAGACATTTTAGAATATCGGGGTAGTCGTTCGCTAAAAATTGGATTCCTTACATATCCAAATATTTTTCCCACATCTATGCTACTGATAGTAAGAAAAAAATTCAACTAGAGAAATACGCGACGGTGATTTTTTCGCAAGTCTTCTCCTTCTTTTAGGCACCATGACAACATTTTCACGTGATAAAAAAGCATTGCTTAATGTGATGACAAAACCTTGTCGAAACGTTGTACATTTGCTGTTATGTTAAACTTATATTAAAATTTTTCTTCTTTAACCATTCAAGCCGTCTCCAGCCATTATTGCTTAATGTGTTTCACCTCTACAGTGAACATTATGTTTATATATATATATATATAAACATAGATCTACTTGCACAGATTAGCTGTTCTCTTTCTCTATATGATTTAGTCAGTGGTGTTACCTGTCTAAACGACCATAAAAAATCAGCCCTTACAGTTTTCAAAAACTTCCACAATTCATTCACTCTGAAGTAGTAGTTCTGGCTTACTGTTAATCTCAATGTATAAAAACAAAGGAAATGTTTGAAACTATAATGTTTGCTTTTAACAATTCTTTCTGACTTATTGTTAACCTGATCTATTAAACAAAGGAAATGTCTCAGACTATAACGTAGGCTCTTAACAATTCTTTCTGACTTATTGTTAACCTGATCTATAAAACAAAGGAAATGTCTCAGACTATAACGTAGGCACTTAACAACTCTTTCTGACTTATAGTTAACCTGATCTATAAAACAAAGGAAATGTCTCAGACTATAACGTAGGCTCTTAACAATTCTTTCTGACTTATTGTTAACCTGATCT